AGAAAACCCTTTTTTTCTACCCCAACTCCCATACACTCAAAAGCTATTAAAATGTTGCACTACATGTGCTATTATGGATAGGAGGTTAATCATAAAAGATAAATAGTCAAAATAGGATGCAGTAAGCAATAAAGAAAGGTGCTTGCAATTCTGATACCAATGGTCCAACATGATTTAAATCTATTTTTTCATTTATATATTACAGTGTATATAAAGAACATCAGTTATCAAATTCAATCAAAAATTGTGCCAATGTTCAAAGCAAGGAATTTTTCTCAGTAAGAGCAAGTGTAGGTAGGCCTGTGAATGTGATAATTTTTCAATACATTTGATGTAAGATGTAGCTATGATCAGTCTTTGAGACTACTTTAATTCATATTTGTCCAGTCTTCATTGGTAGTTAATGCACATAAGTATGCAAAATATCTTATGTTGAATTTTTCAGTTGTATACATGTGTGTCCACTGGCTATGTTAGTCTTCTCTTGGTTTCCTATCTTTGTTGCTCAAGGTCTCTCTCCAATTCATGTTCTTAACTATTGCCTGTTTAGCAATGAATGTACCATGATTGTGCATGTGTCAATAGGTCAGTCTGCTTGCTCCTGCCCCCCCATGCACTAGCCTTGACTTTAGTACAGGTAACGGGTGGTTTTATCAATTTCTGATGGCAGATGAGTAGGTGGAATTATGTTAGCACATAAATTTGAATGTACAAGATCAAATGATATTTCATTAGACTTACTGGGATAGCAAATGAAATTGTTTGAACTGTTTTATATCAGCTGAATTTATCTCTGAATTGATTTAGAGGGATGCTATTGACAGGTTCTTGAATAAAATCTGTTGCTTAAAACAAGCCTATAAAATGGTAGAAGTGCAGATTTAATGGTAGCAACCCCCAAAATAAATTTGTCAATTTCAAATTCTGGTTGTAGCTGCCGCTGGTATAACAATGATTGATAAGAGTGAGGGTGCTGCTACTGTTGCAGAAGTCACACTCACTATAATCCACCATTACCATTCTTTTATCTTAAAATGTAGTGATATCAAATTTGATCAGGCTGTTAGATTTTTGGAATATCAAGTCTGACTTCTAGTCATGTCTTATAGACAGTAAATTTGGTTTCTTCCATTTGTATCATATGTCCAAGATTTTTATTGACTGTATTGACTTGGCACACTTGACAAAAGAAAAAAAAACTTCTGTTATTTTTCTCTTGTAAATTTCATTAACCTGGAAGTGACCATTTCCTACTGTGAGCCAAACTTAGCTTTCTGTGCTAAGTGTTTAGTGAGTCCTTGGCTCAAGGACTGTATGTAGGACCTTAGTTTTTGGGCCAATACAAAATTGTTAATTAAAATTCTATTGTAAAATCGACTAATTTCTTAAAATAAAAAATGCCAATAGTAGGTAGTGGCTGTTTAATGAATGGAACACACACAATAGAAAATTTGAGCGTTTTTTTATATCTTAAACTAGCAGTAGAGCCCGGCGTTGCCCGGGGATGTAACAGTAAGAGATAGATCAAGTATCCACCATCATAAAGACTGAAAAATAAAATTGACAAAGATTATTGTTTAAGGTTGACGGACACGCATGTCTTAATTAGTTTTTTTTTTGTTTTTTTTTGTTTTTTACGAATTGGTCAAACTCAAACAAAAACATTGTTTACAATCGTTATGAGTCTATCGATTGATGAATAGAATTTTATTATAAACAATTGTCTTGTAAATGGAATTTTTAAAGCATTCTGAATGTAAAAAATAAAGAAAAAGATGTGCAAGACACTAAGAAACACTACCTGCCAAAAAAAAAGTGAAGTTTTGTTGAAATCGGTTGAAAAATGTAGGTAGCCTTTCTGTAATCTTTTAGTTTTACAATTTATGATTTTTACTTATTGAATACAGTAAAAAAAAATTGCATATTTTTTTGCTTGTGGTGATTCATAATTAGAATTCTGATTTGAATATATTTTCCACTCGTTGTTTCTAATATTATTAACAAAAAAATATTAACTTTATTTGGGTTTATTAATTTATTACAAGTACTGTGTTCTTTCCTTAATAATTATCGTCTTCGAAATGTTGTTTTTTGTCTATCAGATTTCTTACGTCGGCATTTTTAAATTATTTCTTAATACTTTCTTTTAAATATTGAATTAATTTCAAATAGAAGCAATTCCTTATTGATCTGCCTTGTAACAAATTGCAAAGGGAATTGTAAAAACAGCCCTAAAGTACGTGGAATTATCTTTCCCTAAAGATAAAGAATTATCCGATTTTTTGATTCATACAATCAGTAGAGATCGTTAGATTATTGTTTAAGGTTGACAGACACGCATGTCTTAGTTTTTTTTTTTTTTTTTTTTTTTTTTACGAATTGGTCAAACTCAAACAAAAACATTGTTTTTCAATCGTTATGAGTCTCCCGATTGAATTTTATTATAAATAATTGTCTTATAAATGGAATTTTTAAAGCATTCTGAATGTTAAAAATAAAGAAAAAAAGTGTGCAAGACAATAAGAAACACTACCTGCCAAAAAAAAAAGTGGATGTTTGTTTTATCGGCTAAAAAAATGTAAGAAATCCGATCCCATATATAAAGGAACACACACACCCTGGGTTTTTTAACCCGATGTGAGATGTCCCCTTTTCATTCTCACGATGTGTCTTACTTAATTGTTTTCAAATTGATTTTGTTAAAAAACAATTGTTTTTACCATTTTCGGCGCCGTTAGAACCACCACAAGGTAACTTTATGTAGTCCTGTGAAGTTTTGTTGAAATTGGCTAAAAAATGTAGGAAATCCGATCCAATATATAAATGTTACAGACACAGACACACACACACAATCTGCGTTTTATAATAAGTAAGATAAGATACAAGGGAGAATTTTAAAAATGCTAAACAAAAAATTTAGTCATTTTATTATTAAAAACTTTTTTGATTGTGAAATTTTGGAATATGATAATACTCTTTATGTAGAAAATGAATTCATAGAGCACAGTTATTAAAAGAGCATGTATATTAATATTTCTGTAACATTCTCACCAAGCCAGTCCCTGGTCAATACTACCTCCAGCTGTTGGAATTGGTCATTCTGATCTGTGCTTTGCTCTATCCTACATTGTGTTGATTGAACACTGAGCTGACAAAGATCAAATTATTGTCAGCAATTGTAGCATTGACTTGATCCCGACAAAGCTATGTCACAAAGAAAAAAATAAAATGTTCTTGCAGATGAAATAAAGAAAAGACAAATTTCTTCAGGCTCTATATGGTTTATATCATTCCTTGTACAGAAATATTAGTTCTCGTTACAGAAGTATTAACTCTTCTCACTCTGAATTCTATCATGACACCTTGTTCAGTTTAGCTAAGTCTGGAACAAGGTCTATATTGGAAATTCTCTCTGGCAGCAAGTCACATGGGATTCAGTAAAGTAGTCATTGCTCATTGTCTGCATGCCAGAACTGGTTAGGTCACTTCAGTATTCTGCTTATATTGACTTTCACCTAAAACTGGCATGGGGATCGACGTGGTTAGGGGACGCGGTATTTCCCATATCTTACAACAAGAGCCCCTTTGTCGTCTGGCTCAGGAAAATTATATCTCCAAATTTGGGGAGATCTCTTTTTCCTATGGGTAGCAGTCACAGAGTATCGATTGGCCTCTATAACTCCTTCCTTCTCTTATTTGTGCCTCATACCAACACCTCCCAATGGGCATGGGTAATTCCTCCATCTTCCTCCTCCTCTCTTAGTATCTCATCTTCGCCTGTCACCTCAGTTGTCCATTTGACAAATCTGGTTCTCAAATTGCATGGCATGTCTTAGCTTCTGGTCATTAATTAGAATTATCATTATAATTTCTCAAATTTTCTCAGCCTGGTTTTATTTACCAGCTGTTTCCTCCAGTCAGTTATCTCTATCTTATTAGGGTCATTGCACATTAAAAACCCTGGGTTGGGTTTTTACATGAAGAAATTCCATTTCCTTGACTTGTTTACAATTTCCACTTTTTGATAAGCAAAATAAATCAATTTTCCAATTCTATCCCGTCTTTAGAATTACCAAATTTTATCTCTATTGATGTTTTCGTAACTGGCACCTTTTAGGCAGCATCATCAATCAACTGTCAGCCTGGCCTTGCCACATGGCCTCTCTGGAAATCTTTCCAACAAAGTCACTCTGCTCAAAAAAATAAAAAATAAAAAATAGACTTTCAAAGTTAAAAGTAATTTCACTCTCTCTCAATCTATTGTTCTATTCTTTAACCCTTTTCGTCTTGCTCCGAGCTTATATTTTTAACTTAACTCCTTTCTATTTGCCAGTGTTACATGGTGTCACATCTGTGTAAAATTATTCTGATTTACCTGAAATATTTAAATGAAAATGGTTGTGATTTTTAAAAAAAAATATAGAGTAAAATTAAACTTTGCTTTCTAATCATTTTTAAAAAATTCAACATTTTGGGATGGTTATAAATTTTTTTTTTTTTTTTTTTTTTTTTTAAATGTAGAACAATCTCAAAAAAAAAAAAATTTTAAAGTGTGTCTGGAGGCCTAATTTAGTACTCTAACAAATTCAAAATATCTTTGGTTAGTTCTGTTTTATGAAATCTTGTTTAAAAGCATGTTTCACTTGAAAAAGATTTTTCAGTGAAGAGTTGAAATGTTATTTTACTTCATTAAAAGCAAGATATTTAGGATAAACTACAAAAAGGTGACCACTAATGATTTTGCATTGTTTAAATTCAATTGTCTCTCTGTCCCTTTCATTATATATTTTGTCTATTCTTTTCCTTTCAGTGGACAATCATTTCAAAAGATGTCCCTATGATTCAGATTTAACCTCGGTTTTTAATAGATAAAACAAAGGCCTGAAAATAAAATCCCTAAACTCCCCAAAATGGAGTTAGGGGGTATTAAAGAATCTCCTCCAATGTAAACCATACAACAATTTTCATTTTGAATAAATGTATTACTTTTTTGTTTGCAGCCCCACCAGCAACAGCAGCCTCCTCCTCCTCTTTCTTCCCAAAAGCAATCTAAGGGTAAAACCTCTGCTGCCACCAATGGTCACGCAGTAAGCGTGACACAGGGTCGGCCAGCTGAGGAGACCAAAGCTGCTCCTCCTCCTCCTGTAAAGTCCACTACAGTAAAGCAACAGAAGAGCTCTAAGAGTCAATCCAGTAAAGAGAATCAGCAAGCAACTCCTGACAACCAGAAAACTAACAACAAAAAAGTATGTTTATGATGATGATAATCATGGCAGTAGCAATAAAAATGGTGAAGGTGTTCATCTTTCATTTCTTGGGAAGAGAACTGATTTTTTTCCTTGCTTAGCTTGTGTGATTTGTACTATTAGATGAATTCTCTGCCAGTTTTATATTGAAAAAATATACACACACATACGCATACACACATCATAGCCTAATAACTGTTGGTGGATATTTTGATTCTTTAATGGTATTGTATTTAATATCCATTTAATAATGATTTCCTTCAATAGTTAACTATAATTATAATGCATGTCTCAACTCTTTTTTTTTGCCATTGTCATAAGAATCTTTTTTAATTATAGCCCTACAATTATTAGAGTACTTAAGAATTACTTCCAAAGTTTTACTGTTCAGTTGATAAACATTTAAAACTGAAGAGTTTGATGAATTGAGATCAGCATAATGTGTAGATTTCCAATAGAACTTATATGAACAGTCTGAAATTGCAACCACAAATCTTTTGCCTATTTTGCTTTACTGCTAAGTTCAACACAAAAGTGTCAGATAACATTATGGTCTTGTCAGCAGTGAAAACAATTTTTTAAAATAATGACTCTGATACCTAAAGCAAACCTTCTGTATTTAGTAAACCTTTAATACATTTTCTCTTTTATTCAATTATTCATAGTATTCTTATCTTTAGTGTTTTTATCACATTTTGTCAGATTATGTAACCTTTCTTAGGTGTATATCACATACATACCTGAGGAAGGACAAAAGGTTGGGACAAAGACCAAAAGAAATAATTAAGTAGTTACAATACTTCGTCTTGGAATGCAAGCAGAAATTTTTACCTTTACTCATAAAATATAAAGTTTTCTGTATATTATAAACTTAAAATTTGTAGATTTATAACTTTCCTGTGAGTAGTATTGTATATTGTCTAGTTTTGTGACTGTTCAAAAGTTTTTTGTTTTTTTTTTTTTTTTTTTACTTTATATAACATTTTTCAACTTTTCTAATGATATTACATAGCAAAATTTTTTGGTATTGATAAAATTATCTAAAATAATTAAATATCAACCTACTAATAGCATGAAATTGTGGCAAAATATGAACACAAATGACAATGAAATGATTGTCATTGAGGATGAATTTTAAGTTTATGCCTTAGCAAAAAATAAAACCCAAAACTGGTGGAAACATTCATCTAAAAGACAAAACCTAGGCTGAGAAAAGCAAATCTGATAGCTTTTTTTTTTTTTTTTTTTCTTCAAACTCTATTATAGGCAATATTTCTGGTTTGTCTTGAATTACGAGTTTTAGAGAAGTGCAGAATTGTTTTTCTAACTAAGATACAAAAACATGAAAAGCAGAGAACAATTTACATTGTTTAGACTGTTGTCCTAATTTTTACTGCCATATTCACCATGATTTGGACATTTTATGCTTCGGCTTCCTTCAGGTGATTGCAATTTCAAACTGAACCCTTTTTCATCCACCAAGGTAGATTGTTCTAGTTCCTGGTGGATGAAATAAAGGGTTCAGTTCAAAATTTCAATCACCTGAAGAAGACCGGAGCATACAACGGCCAAAACATTGTGAATATGCCAATAAAGATGAGGACAATAGTTTAAACAATGTAAATAATTACAATATCTCAGAAATATAGACAGATTGAAGAGAAGAAATGTTGATTTTTTTTTGTTTTTGTTTTTTTTGTATATGTGTATATAAAAATTGAAGATAAGATTATTTATAACTTATAGTAATTTCTTCACCTCTCTTGTAATCTTATGTATTTGGTATTATCTTTTTTACATATATGGAAAGAAAATACCTTTCTCATTAATCATATTAGACATTTTTTAACAAAGTTAATCACTTCCACAGGCCTCAAGTACTGCATTTTTTGCCATACTTTTTCAAAGCCTATAGCTAGCTATTTTGTTGCTAACTGCCATTGAGGATCTAATAGTCAATGGCTTCATAAGTCTGAATTCAATTTTGTAAACCAAACTCAGAAATATTGTTGGATTATTTTACCACATTTCTAATATGAAGCAAATTAAAAACAAAAAAAAGCAGGCAAGTAGAGATTATTGCTTTCTCTTGCCTGTCCTCTTCTACCTGGTCTATTTCTTACAGATGTTCTTGATGTTACACCCTGTTAAATCTGCTGGAATAAGCCTTATTAATTTTGTTGACAAGTTGACAGACCAAATCAGGAAATAAGTAAAGGAGCTATGTTAGCAGCTGATTTTCATTGACATATTTTTCTGTGGATTAACGATGGCTTATTATTCATACAGTTCTTAAGCCATGAACTCTTGCTTTGCACTTAATGATTTCTTGCTGTGAAACTATCAGCTGCCGCCTGTAGAGTCCAAGAAAATGTCACATTCATGTTGGCTTATCCAACTTTTATCCTTGTTTCATATAAGTCATCATCACTTACCACTGTTATCTGCACCAATGAGATTCATCAGTTATAGAATGTATGTACCCAAGCCTTTGCACTTCTTTATAGCCATTCATTAAATCATTACAGTTATAATTAGACAGTATTTTATTTGACATTTCTCTTTGTTTTTTGTCTTTCAAGCTTTTTTTATTTCCTTTCTTTCAATGTCTTTCTTTTCCTTACTTTTTTTTTTATTTACTTTTATTTAAAATGTTTTCTTTTTTTAAATTTTAATATCAGAGACTAATTTTCTATTGTAAAATCCTTTGGCTTACTCTGCTTTTTCACCATTATTCATTCATTTGTTCATTCCTGCCCGCTTTTCATACTGACTGCTGCAGGCTTCCTTTTCACCCACTTCACTCTACCACTTCTACCCATGATTGTTGAATCTGCTTCTACAACTATCAATCCTATTTGGCTCTGATTTGGGGAGAGGCTGCTGGAGCATCTTTTTGAATGGGTACCTTGCAAATATCTGGAAATTTCATTGATTGAATCTCTGGAATTAAGCACCTTTTTTTTTTTTTTTTTTTTTTTTTTCAGATCATTAAAAGGTGCTTCAAGCAATTTTGCTTCCTAAATTGTGTGTTTGTGTTTGTTTGGTTTTGCATTCACCTTCCTCTTCACTCCATTGTTTTTTTTTTTTTTTTTTTTTTTGTTTTTTTTTTTAACTTTGTTTCTATTGTCTCCATCATTTAAAACATTTGATATTTTCACCATTCTGCTGCATTTCAACTACTTCAGGTTGTCTTCTAATTAAAGCTGCTTTTTTTAGCCATGCTGACTGCTTTTTAACTTTCTTTCTGCTTTATACCAGACATTTCACATATTTTTCAATCTACCCCCATAACATTACACTAGGGTGATTGATTTGCTACAAACCTATTCACTTGCTTAAAAATTACAAATTTGTCTTTCATTTTAAGTAGAACTATGAACTTGGAATTGCCTTTTAGCTTTTAACTAAAAAGTTAAGGATTACAAGTTCTAAAGTTCACATCCTGGTACCACATACCTGAATTTATTATCACAAAGAAAGAAACTGAAATTTCAATGAAGAGGAAAAATATATAAATTTGCCAAAGTTTTTTGATTAAAATGATTTCTCTTGAAATGTTAAACTTGGCTACAATTAAATAATATTAATTTTATCTTTTTTTCTTTTTTAATTTTTTAAATTGCTCATTTCCAGACAGTTTTTATATATAAATATTAACTTTTGCCTTTTTTTATATCAAGAGCAGTTATTAAAGAATTGATATTTAAAAAAATAAATATTTTTCCACAAATGAGATAATCACCATCTGTCTTTCAATACTGGAAAAATAAAGACACTGATCTTTTTAAAAAACAAAAACACATTTTATTTTTATTCATTTTACTTTTCCTCTTCATTTATTTTTCTCTTTTGAAATTGTGATTTGTCTACTGCATAGCTTGATTTGAATTTTGTTTACTTCATCTTGTTTTCTTGAGGAAAATAAGTCAAGAAAGGCATTTTTCAAACTTTATTCTATTTGTTTTGTTTAGACCAAAAAACAAGCCACTCCTCCAGCAGTGAGCACAAAAAAGGAGCAACCGGTTAAAGAGAAGAAAATAAAAGTGACTGAAGATGAAGGTAAGTAATAAGTAGATTTGTTTTTGTATTTTCTTACTCTCTCTCTTCAACCCACGTTTTTTTGATCATGACCTAATTGATCTTTTGTCAAAAAAATTGACAAATTCAGGGAAGATTGTACATATATGGCTCCTGAAGCCCTCCTGTGTAATTTATTAGATCTTAAACTGGAGGTCATCAGATATCAGTTATTGTAATTGAAAGATCAGTCACAAACTTCCAAGAAAGTTTAGAAGGCATTATCACCTGGAATTGGGAAACAGATGATCTTTCAAGAAGTTAAAAATTCACTGCTGCTTTTCACAATGTCACTGGTAGTTTGTTTTTTTTTTTTTCTTGAATCCATATTAAGGTCCTGGTATATTCATCAAATTTGATTGTCAAATTTATCAAAAGTGGCACTGGAGCAACTGGTTGGATCTTGCTATTTCTAAGATTTAAATAGCAACAGCTTATGGCCTTGAAGTTACAATTTTAGCCACTGTGACTGGAAAATCAATTTTTATAACTTTGCCTGCCACTAAAACTTGTTTATGTATGCATTGATATTCAATATAGTTTCATTAGTATTGAATCTATATAAAGCCAGCAATAATGTTCTTACACAGTGTAAACATTGTGGTCCATTGGAGTTTACCAAGTTTATTTTATCAAGTATGTTAATTAAATTTGTTTTAATGATAGACAGTTTCACCAATTATTTTCTTAGTTTCAGCTTTGGTAAAAATAAAAAATTTAATGTTTCTAAGAAATATCTGTACCACAGTTGTTTTTGCAACATCTTCAAATAAATCACTGTATTTAAGTATAACCGTCTTTCTACTGAGACTTTTCATTCTCCACCCACACAGTTTTATGTAATGAATTTCTTACAAATTTAAAAGTTTAGCTTAGTCTGGCAGAAGTCCAAAGCTAAATGTGTAGGAAGGTTGTGTTGCACCAGTTTTAAAAGTGGGAAAGGAATGACCTGCTTCTCTTGAAAGTCAGCATTCAAAGCCCTGATTTTTTACCTATTCTTATACAAGGCAGCATAAAATATACAACTACTTCAGCCACCTGGCTTAAAATTAGAAACAAAGAATAATGAACCTGCAGTGATCTTCTATTTCTATCACAAATAATGTGTATCACTTAAATTTTTTATTTACAAGTTGTAAATTCATTTTTGCTGCATTATTAACACCACTGCCTCCACACACACACACACACAAAATTGTATGTATTGTGGCATTGTGGTGTCTCTCGTGTCATTAAATATAAAAATATTCGAAAGGAAAATTATTGAACAATTTGATTAGTAATTGTGACGAGATTAAATGATATAACAAAAAAAAAAAACTCCATTCCCCATTTTTAGGCCTTGTACCAAATTTTATGTGATTTCATTAATAAATATTATACTCCTCAATTTTTATTGTTTTCATTCTTTCCACACTTAAACTGAAAATCTCTGAAAACTTGGATTTCTGAATTCAATCAGGATTTGGACTATTAAGGTTCCTACATTAATGCACCTTTTTCTTTTTAAACTTGATATTAATATTTAATCAATAACTTGATATTTACAATGCACAACAATATTTTCCCCCTTTCTATTTATGCCCTTTAAAAAAAAAAAAAAAAACTGTGGTTGATGAATATGTTCAGTAGAGCTTCATATAGTTAAATTGAAAAAGATGAATTGCAAAAATAGTTCATAAAAAGATGCAACAAACCCCAGTGTTTAATTTTAAATACAAAACATTAAGATTTCTAACATTCATACAATATTTCATGTATTTGTTAAATTATTAGATATTAGCTGGAAATGTAAAAAATAATGGCAATAATTAGAATGTATTTTCCTTTTCAACCAGGTAAACAAATTGAGAAACTTATTTTTCTCCCTCACAAATCATTTTTTTTTTCTCATTAGTTAGGATTAATCTGTTTTAAATCCAATTTAACTCTGAAATTTTCCTGCAAAGAAACTTGTCATCCTTAGGCAATGATAACTAATTGTATGTGATGGAACAGTATATGTAGTGACTCATTTTCTCTAACTCCATCTTGTCAATATCTGGATTCAGGTTGGACCACCCAACGTTCACGTAAAGAGAAGAAACCAAAAGGCAAGAAAGAAGAAGAAGAAATAATAGTTGCAAGCTCAAATGAAAAGCTTGCCCAACCTATTAATGCTGCTACTTTGAAGGAGAAGCAGTCAGGTGTCCTTGTTGCAGAGAAATCAGCAAAGAAAGAGAAGTCACCTTCTGCAGAAAAACCTTCCAAAAAGGAGAAAACTGTTCCTGCTGATAAACCAGCTAAGGAGAAATCTCCAACAAATAAACCCTCCAAGAAAGAGAATGAAGCTCCTTCAACAGAAAAGACATCCAAGAAAGAAAAAGCTAAAAAAAATTCTGAGGTAAGGTAAAATAATAATTATTCAAACATACAGGTTCAAACTTAAATATCATATTGAAATAAATTTTCCTCCTTAAAGTAACACTGATTTGGTGTATGAATTGTCAATGAAAGTGATCAATAATTGTGGTAGATATGAATGTAACACAATTAAAAATAATGGACTTATCCAGTATCTCTTGATACTGACTAGTATCTTGTCAAAAGAAATTAGTGACTCTGTTGTGGGATGCAATTTCAAATTGGGTGTTTCTCCCCTCTACACTGGTTTCTTGGTATTTGTCATTCTGTCTTGTATCCGCTTTGTTCTACACATATCGTACAATGCACCTTGATAGAACAAAGCACTTGCCTTCTCTCAAATTGAAGTCGTACCCAGACAAACTCTTTTCGAGATGCAGGCAAGTCTCATTCACCACTTCTGCCCCTTGACTCGGGTTCCAATTCACTATGTCTGCTTACACTCCCCCTTGGTCTCATGATCACACATATAATAGTGCAGATGCAGTCTCTTGTTTTGGATGCTCCTCCAAAGGAGGATTGTCTAAATTTCTTCCTCAGAAGAGTTGTCAGAGCTGTCAATGTTATTACTTGGCTTCTCAGGTGAATCGTCGATCTCACATGGCATGGATTCAATCAGTAACCCGCTTTCAGACGATTCATTCTCACTTGTCAATGGTTATGTTTCGAGGGCAGGATAGAGATCCCTTACATGGTGCGAGATTCTGTCTACCAATACAGAATGCTCACTGATGGTATTGGTGACCTCCCCTTTTTTTTTTTTTTAAGTTGGTGGTGCACCAGCTATTGGGAGGTTTCCACACATCCTATGTGGTCCATGCACTTTTCATTCAGGCAGATACACACTGTTGATCCCTTTGACTCATACCTGGTAGGTGTAGATTGCATTGGCAGGTGCACTTGTAGTAGATATGTCTTCTTTGGTTATATCTATACACTGCTTCTATGACTGTACACTGCTTTCTGGCAGCAATCCCTTTTACACTTCAGTGACACCTTTCTGCTATGCCATTGCCACTTGGTACATGCACGCATTGTAGTCAAAGCTGGATCCCCCAGTCATCCAGGAAGCATTCAAATTGTCTGCTGCAGAAGGCAGTATCGTTGTCAGAAAGGATTTCCTCCAAGGGTTCTCGTTCATAAAGCACTGACACTTGAAGAGTCCTGCCACGGCAATGGTCTGGCAAATCTGGTGGGTTCAAAATCTATAAGCATGAGGAAATGCTGGCCGCCATAATGTGTTATATCCATACTGTGCCTGACTCCAACTTCCCTTTTTGCTGTTTGACTCATGTGGGGTCTATTGTTTGGCACCCTCTGACTACAGTCCTGACGCCACTCATGAGCACTGAGGGATTGGTTAACCGTACGAAATAGCACATCCTTCTTACACTGGGGTGCCTGCTGCAATGGTGTATTTTCATTATATCATCTGCCTCCTCCACAGAGGCAACACATACTGGTTGTACAGGCTCAACATCGCTTTTTTTTTTTTTTTTCAATCTGTCAGAAAGGTTTCAGTTTGATGTTACTAATATTACATCCATGGACTGATCATATTCAGTGACTAGTCTCTTGATAGTCTCCAACCTCCTCCTGATCAGCATCTCGCTTGCTGCCTTGGTGCGCACTCTGGCTTTACCTGTCAAAGTATCTAACACCCAATGGTATATGCATAAGGAGTCAGTCTGTATATGTGTATATGCAACTTTTTAACTCTCCACTGGAGCACTAAGTTGCCGCCCTTCAGTACAGCATCCAGCTCTGCCAGGTTAATATGTGCAATGTCGTTTATTGGTCACAATCAGCATGCATCCTCAATTGCCGTTCCATCCTTCTCCAATAAGACTTCAATCGCTAGTAAGCTTGCATCAGCCCACACATTCATTTCTTCTCTATGCACACACCAATCTCCTCTGGAAGGGTTGTTCTTCTTTATTCTTGCTATGGTCTCCATCACCAGGTGAATAAGCAAAGGGTCAGTCGTTTCATCGTCCCAACCCTTGGTGACTGCACTTGCCCTGCACTTCACAGTGCCTGCCACCACATGGAGCCATCTGCACGCTAGTAGGTGCCCCACAAGTCTTCCACATAGGGAAAAAACTGTTCACCTTGTTAGGACGTCAGTTCCACATCTCCATTGCAAGGTTCCTTGCTTGCCTCTAACATCCAAGCCCAACACACAGGCGCCATCTTCCAGCCATTCCAGGTCCTTGCAGATTAAGCCAAACTGGACCAATTTAGCTCTTACCTGCTGTGATGACACTGTCTTCATTTACATAAATGTCATCAACATACACTGATGTCCCTTCTTTTACTGTCTCTTCTCGAGATAACACAGCCCCAGTAATTGCTTTCATTATCTGCAGTGCCACATTCAATCCAAAGCCCAGTCTGGTAAGGCAGTACCTTCTGCCAGCAAACATCACCATCTGAAATGACTCACCAACTCCGACTTGCAAATAGTCAGTTATGAGACATGCTTAGGCGATCATGTATCTTTTGATACATGACTGACAAGGTTTTTCCCCGCAGTAGATTGCCATTTCTTTCTGCAGTAGACCAGTTGCCATCCAAGGCCATAGAACCTGGTCTGTTCTGCTATTTACCCATATCTGGAGGGAGAAGAGGATTCATACCTTTCCCAAGAGTATTAACATGTAAGTGAATGTAATGGATTCAACTGGAATTCGAACTTGGCTCTCTGATTCTTCAATCCAAGCCGCTATCCATTACTCCACCGTGCCTCCTTGCAAATAGGCCTTTCTTAAATCTAGAAAGGAGACTTTAGATCCATGCTGTCGCCATTCCCACAGTTTGCTGGCACAAATATCAGCATCAGCCATGAATGCGTTGACATATTGATTCAGCTCTTGGAAATCCATTATGTGCCTGACTTTTGACTTGTTCGGTTGCACAATCACCATCAAAGGGTCCTTGCAGATTAAGGAGGTCCAAGTTTTCTATGAGGATAGGGAATTAAACAGCATTCTTTAATCCATGTGCAGAGCTCCTTTTCGTACACAGGTCTTATTTGGTTGGGCACATGGTATTCAGCTATGTGGTTTTGTAGCATGGCTAACTCCCAGTCTCCTGTCCACAAGGCAGTCAAAATATTCTGACGCTGGTCAAATACAATACTGAAGTTGGGTTGGTCAGTCTTGCGTGCTACACACACATGGGCCTCCTTCCGAAACGTCGCTGTTCCAGTCTGCGAGATGAGAACACCACTTAAGACTTTGGTGTCATAACCCAGTAGCAGGGCAAAGTTTAATGCCTTCTCACACAACATCAATGAAATTCCCAGATGTTTGCTGGCAGAAGTGTTTGTACGGATCCTGACTACCCCTATCCTGTGACATGCACGCATTTCATCATTTATGGTGGTCACTCTGACTTTCCTTTTCTTCCAAGCACAGCAAAGTCCAGTACTTACTATAGTGCATGAGCACCCGGAATCAAGGAGTGCTGAGCACGGTGTCTCATTGACATAGATTTGGATGACCAGCAGCGCCTTATTTATACATTCGCTGGGGAAGAGATCAGCACCATCTTGTCCCCGGCCTCATTTCCTGGGCAATCCCAAGCAATATGTCCAGCTTCTTTGCATCGATAACAACATACATGCAATACTTGTTTTCTATCCATGCAATTTCTTGCCACATGGCCCCGACTGTTGCATTTATAGCAGACGATTCCAGTGCATGAGCCCAAACTGGGGGGAAGCTCTAACACTACTTTGTTTTGCTTGTCCTGCCACAACAATGGGTTCCTCTAAAGCAGTCATCTTACAAGATAGTTCTGGCCCGGTCCAATAATTCATCAAGTGCCAACGAGTCTACACAAGAGTTTGCCCATAAAAGTTGCTTTACTCTAAATGGGAGCCCTGCTAAGAATGCACATGCTAATGCTCATTTGTGTAGTCTGCCAAACAGGGTTGTCAGCTTCTTCATTGCGGCCAAATAAACATCCACAGTTTCATCTGGCCGCAGATTACATGCCGCAAATTGTTCATAGGCAATGCAGGGGTCAATCGGAAACGCCTTATAGAGTACAACCTTGATTCTAACTGGATCTTCCTTCTCCTTATCACTAAGCTGTTGATATACAGCGAATGCACTGCTGGTCAGTTGTAGAAGAATCATATGCTCAATGGCTTTTACCCTGTACAGGTAACAAATTAGTTTGACTTTTTCTACCCATTCCAACATAAAAGTAGTGCCATCAAACTCTGGAATGAGTTTCAAGTCAACTTTGTCTCCCGTTTCACCGAAATAGCTTGTGGTCAAAAGAAATTAGCGACTCTGTTGTGGGACGCAATTTCAGATTAAGTGTTTCTCCCCTCTACACCAGTTTCTTGGTATTTATCGTTGTTCTCTGCCTTGTATCCACTTCATTTGTTCTATTACAACTGCATGTATCATGCAATGTACCCCAACAGAACTCACTCTTTTCTCCAAGATGGTCCCGTTTGACAGAATGAGGCACTCACCTTCTCCCAAATTGAAGTCCGACATGCCATATCCAGATGCCCTTTCTCTTTCGTCCTTTCTCTTTCGTCCTTTCTCTTTCGTCCTTTCTCTTTCGTCCTTTCTCTTTCGTCCTTTCTCTTTCGTCCTTTCTCTTTCGTCCTTTCTCTTTAGTCCTTTCTCTTTTCGTCCTTTCTCTTTAAGTCCTTTCTCTTTAGTCCTTTCTCTTTCGTCCTTTCTCTTTCGTCCTTTCTCTTTCGTCCTTTTCTCTTTTCGTCCTTTCTCTTTCGTCCTTTCTCTTTCGTCCTTTCTCTTTTCCCTTTCTCTTTCGTCCTTTCTCTTTCGTCCTTTCTCTTTCGTCCTTTCTCTTTTCGTCCTTTCTCTTTCGTCCTTTCTCTTTCGTCCTTTCTCTTTCGTCCTTTCTCTTTCGTCCTTTCTCTTTCGTCCTTTCTCTTTCGTCCTTTCTCTTTCGTCCTTTCTCTTTCGTCCTTTCTCTTTCGTCCTTTCTCTTTCGTCCTTTCTCTTTCGTCCTTTCTCTTTTCGTCCTTTCTCTTTAGGTCCTTTCTCTTTCGTCCTTTCTCTTTCGTCCTTTCTCTTTAGTCCTTTCTCTTTCGTCCTTTCTCTTTTCGTCCTTTCTCTTTCGTCCTTTCTCTTTAGTCCTTTCTCTTTTCGTCCTTTCTCTTTCGTCCTTTCTCTTTTCGTCCTTTCTCTTTCGTCCTTTCTCTTTCGTCCTTTCTCTTTTCGTCCTTTCTCTTTTCGTCCTTTCTCTTTTCGTCCTTTCTCTTTCGTCCTTTCTCTTTCGTCCTTTCTCTTTCGTCCTTTCTCTTTCGTCCTTTCTCTTTCGTCCTTTCTCTTTCGTCCTTTCTCTTTCGTCCAGGCAAGTCTCGTTCGACACTTCACCCCTCAACTCGGGTTCCGGTTCACTATGTCTGCTACAGAATAGGATGTGCCTGATTTTGGCAACTAGAATAAAAAAAAAATTCACTTTATCTTTAACATATGTTTGAAGATAGCATTCTTCAGTAGAAAAAAAGTATGCTGAATTGGGAGAAATCTTTTCGGCTCATCTGCAGTGAGTGTCAAGTTCAGTGATACAAAGATTACAGCTGGGAGAATATGTGCATATGTTTTCTCCTGCACAATTATTTGACTGAAAAGACTGTTAGTCAAATGGGATGATTTTTGGCCATAATTTCTTTGATGGTTTAACAATAAAATACTTTTAATATGAGAAATTCTTATTTGCTTGATGATTTTTCTTTAAGAGAGGTTCTTTGAAAGAGTAAAAAGTTAAAATCTATAAACATGAAAGAGTTTAAAAAGCAATACATTCAACATTGAAGAAAACTCAAAGTAGATTTAAGCAAATACTTTGCTTTGGACTTTCCTGCATAACCCAACTTTTGTGGGTCGGGGGAAGATGTCAAGCTATCATTTCAAGTTAGGCATTTTCTAAAATTACTTTAATTGATCAGGTATTCATTTCAAAGGCTATGAGATTTTAACAGAATTTTTCATTTTGATAAAAGACTACCTCATCATTGTATTTCAAATAGTTTTGTTGTTCTGTCCAACCATCCTTTTCTACAGAATAAGTTACAAAACATGTTACAAAACTTGACAGGTTTACTCTCTACTTTTCTTGGCTATTTTTTCCCTGGACTTGAATAAACAAGGAAGAAGCCACTTCTCATAGGAATAGATTATTGTGGAGAAAATTGGGTGTATCAAGTGTTCCCCATGGAATTTATTAACAAGTTAAAAAAAAAAAAAAAACCTTACCATATTGGATGGATTTTTACCAAAGAATGGCACAAAGGCTCCTCTTTCATAACTCTCTTCATATATAGATGGAAATTCATAAATTGTCTGTTTATGCAATATGCTTCTCACAAATGACATTCAGTTAGCCCCAAAGAGAAAGCACTCCTAACTCATTGGGGAAACAATCATGTGTTGTACTTCCATGCATTTTCTGAATGCACTTCTGTATTCCTCTTATATAAAACATCAATGATAAAATTTTAGTGACAAAAATAAATGCCTAATTAACAAAACTGCATCTTGTTTGTAAATGTTTGTATGCACTGTTGAATTTCCTTTGTTCATTGATTGTTTAAAAATGTCCTTACAGCAACAAAAAGCATTGCTCAAATCCAATTTGCTTCAAAATCCAATACATTTTTTTTTTTTTTTAGCAACCCAAGACTGCCAATAAAAATCCTTCCCCTGCCAAGGAAACAGAATCAGAACCAAAGAAGTCAAAAAGCAAATCACCACCAGCACAACAACAGTCTGTCAAAGAGACACCAATTTCATCTAAACAAGAGACAACTCATTCAAAGAAAAAGTCACCACCCAGAACAAAAACCCCCTTAGGGGAAATTGTTGAACAGGTAAACAAATTTTAAATATTTTTTTGCTCTAGCAGAACTTTTAAACTTTTCAAAACTTGTTTTTGCTTGAATTTTTAATAAATTCAAAAATTTTAATGAAGCATGTTTTTTTTTTTTGTTTTTTTTGTTTTTTTTTGTGTGTGTGTTTTCTTTTGTGTTGTTTTATTGTGTTGTGTTGTTTGTTTTATTGTGTTGTGGTTTTGTTTTTTACTGCAATTTTCCAACCCTGAAAGGAAATAGTTTTTCTTGACTTTAATTTGTTCACACCTTACTCACATGGGAACTAGGTCTTTTTTATACCTAAATTGCCCTTTGATATTTGATACCGCATGACCCACATAGTTATTGATGTGTCGAAAGCTTTATTCTTATCATTAATATGTCAATATAATTTATTTTTACTTAAATAACAAAGGAAGTCTGTCAACTAAATAAAGAAAAATGCTCATTATATTAAATGTTAATCAATAATATTGAGTTAAAATAGGCTATGGTTCCACAGTGCCTATACATGAGCCGCCACTGTCGGCGACTGGAGTTATCTAGATTGATAACTTGAAGGGAAATAGAATTTAAGATTTAATAGCATTGCCTATATATCTGGTGACACTTTGCCATTGTTCTTCTTCTCCAGACTATTTAACAATTATTTATTTTTGCTTATATTGTGGGGGCAAAAATTTAAGTTTGTTTCTATGATTTCTTATGATTCACTCAAAAAAAAATCTGATAAGAGTAAAATGCTTTTCTTTTTGCTAACAAGACCTTCAAAATCAGCTTCTGTTCTCATATTTTAAATCTGTCATTGCTAGTGAAACTTTCATTAAGAAATAATTTCTCATTGGAAGAGAGCACTGTCTATGCCATAAAACATTTTTTTTTGTATTTCACTCTTAAACAAACTGATAACATTTTTTTATCCTATTCAATAATATTGACTTTATGATTAAATTGTCTAAATGTGGGAAAACTTGAAGATCTTTCTTTTCAGAATTTTTTCTGCTTTGTTCCTTTTCTCCTTGAAACTATCTTGTGGTGTGGCTTCCCCCTCTATAATTTGATCATTCTCTTCAATGTGTTGGCAGGATTTTGTACTCGTCTCTTATGTTGAAGACACTGTTGACAACGGGAACCAGGAAAGCAGCCCAGCTCGTAAAAAGAAAAATAAAAAGAATAAATCTTCTCAGGGTGGCCAGCAACAGGGGTTGGGAGACAGCCAAAATAATCAACCAAAGGAAGAGAAAAAAAGCACAGCTAAAGAGGAAAAAAAATCTGGTCAACCTCTGAACCAGCAGCAGTCACAACAGGAGAATAAGTCAAAAAAGAAGAATATAGCAGAATCAGCAGAAAAACCATCAGCAACGAAAGAGGCAAATACAGACGCAACTAAAAGTCCAAAAAAAAAGAAAAATAAGCAGTCTACTCCTGAAAAGGTGAGAATTTCAAACATAATCAACAAAGAAAAATAGTGGCAGTAATATTAAAAAGAAAGTTCACAAATATTATACTTCAAGTGCTAGGAATCAAATGATCACCTGACTTCACTTCTTTTTTTTCTTTTTTTTTTTTTTTTTTTTTTTTTTTTTAATATATATATATAATTTAATATTGATAAGAGGAAACTTTTAATGTTTATAAAATTTTAATTTATGCTTCTTACTCTTCTATTTAGTTTTAATAACTTGATTGGTTCTGACTCCAAAAGACAATTAACTATGATAACCACATATATACTCAGATTTCAACAACCCCACCTTCCAAGCCATAAAGCCTGATGTTTTCCAATGTTCATTTAGTTTTATTACAACTACTTTTAGAAATAGAATTCAAATTTCAGGTTACTTTTGATTTGGTCATAGATGTTTAAAGTATGGAAGCTTTAGGCAAGTTGCCTGAAACCTGAGAATGCAATTATTCTTATTGTACCACATGATCCCTGTGTTGCATTAGAAATTGAAAACAATCAAATTTTAGATATATAAATCTATAATTTTTCAAAATTTCATTTTCATCCCAAGAAAATTGAAGACTTTTGCTTGCTATTTTTCTTATTCATTCCATATATAATACATGTAATTTAGGCAAAAGGAACAGCAACAAGGCAAATTTAATAACAAATGTATAGAGTGACTGTACTTATCTTAGAATAATTGCATTACATAATAATAAGCACTTTTCAAAATAGTGTTGTGCAAGATACACCAAAAATATAATACCATTTTCTCTCCTGCTTTCAACCACAAAATCTTTGCAGACCTGTTTAGATATCAAATCAATCCTGAATAATTCTTTTATTTTTTCTCCTGCTTTGTTTTCTATAAAGAAATGCATGCCAACTTTACAGCTTTCAAATTGCATGGCATTCCAACTAACAAATTTGTGAATGGATTAATTCAAAAATTTATTCAAAGAATTTCTATTGTTTCTTTGTTTTACAATCAAAATATTCAATCTTGCATTCACTTATTTGTAAGCATCCTTTTGTTTTTATAAAAGAATTTTGTATAATTATTTTTTCCTCTTTCAGAAAAGTAAATAAAAAAAAAATAGATACTTATTTAGCTAAGCCTTGTCTGGCACAAGAGTAAAATAAAACTTCTAGTGATGATGAAACTCTGCAGAAATGTTTCCAAGATTAATTATACCTTTTTTTTTTCCTTCCATTTTTGTTACTGCTGCCAATAGGAACAGATTGGTGACTAACTCTAGTATGGTTAAGATTCAGTAAAGTGAAGTAACAGTTTTGTATGAAAATTCATTTTTTTATGTAATTTGCTATGCTGTTTTTGAATATGACATTTATTTCAGAAGATTTTCAGTTTTGATAATTGTTTTAATGTAAGATTAAGGTGACTGTTTCTAAAGTGGGGATTTTGTGCTTGTTTACACAAATGTCTTTACAAGAAAGGCAATATCCAGTTGGAATAAAGACAGATATGAAGACACTAAAAGCATTAAAAGAATATAAGATGTAAAACTTCAATTGGATTAAATTTACATGTATTTTGAATTTAAATCAGTTTCTCTTTTTGCCCCCTTTTTATAATAGTGGATATATTAGGATATATTTTTGCAACTTCAGTTTTATATTCTGTTCACACATTTATCTGAATGAACATCCATTGATCAATGTAATTTTTCTCAAAAATGAAACATTTCTAAAATGCATTTTCATGCAAAAAGCTCTTTAGTAAACCAAATCTTATGTTTATGGATTAAGTAACATACTAGTTAAAAGAACACAATAACCAAAAACGGTAATGTAAATAGCAAGGATAAGTATAATAGTCCAAAAAAGTTTGGAAAATTGATAAGGATTTTTGTTTGGAACAGCTTCATGAAAATTGTTTGTTTTGGTCATAAACTAAATAGCCAAGTCCAAATTTTGATATCACAATTTTCCATTTATTTACACACAATACACACTGTACAAGCTTCCTTGCAGAATTTTTAAACATGCTTATGCTTTAAATGAGTCCTGAAGCTTCAATCTCATTCACCTGCAGAACTAAATTATTCCTGAATTCCTCTCATTTAAAATTATTAGTTTCTCTTCAGATTGTCCCTCATTATATATATTCTTTGAGATTAAATCAAACCAATAAAATCTGAAATCCCAAAATATTCAATTATCTTCAGTCAAAAAAATAAATAAATAAATAAAAGTTCAAATAAATTTTTTTTTTCTTGTTCTCAAGAAACAGTTGAGAAGAATTGTTTTTAGGTTTTGTATATCTGCAGATATTGTCAATTCTTGCTGAAAACTGTTTCAGGTAGTGAATGAAAATGCTCAACCACCTTCAACCACTGAGAAAAGTAAAAAAGAACCAGCGGTAAAAACTGCAGAGGCTCCAACCAAAGTAGCAAAGGACCCAAAATCTAAAAGTCAAAGTCCTCCTCCATCAGCTCCAATTCCTGCCAAACCAGAACACAATTCTAGTAAGTACTTTTAACCCTTTTTGGTGGTATCTATCAACAAGGTTTGTCTTTTTCTCTCTTTGTCAATGTGATGCTGACTTCACTGTATATAAAAATACTTATCTATCAGTCTGCATTAGTGAATCCAAAAGAGGCATGTTCCCACCTTTTGTAGAGGTGGGTGAGATATGCAGGCATTAAAAGACAGTAACAGAATACATAATTGTTCATTTGCCAAGTGAGAATAGCCATTTAATAAGCACTTAAAAATCTTTTTTTTTTTTTTTTTTTTTTTTTTTTCCAGACACTAAAGCCTGTATGCACAGTTGAAAACTAGCTTATTTTTACACATGCACATGTGTGCATGTGCCAACATACACATACATTTCTTTCTATCCAATTCATAATGAATTAATTTTTGTTTTATTCATTTTCTTGTAGACATCTGGACAGAAGCTAAGCCAAAAAGTAAAAAGAAGAAAGCCCGCCGAGAAAATTGAATTTTAATAGAAATGGAATTCAACCGGAATTTATTTTCTTTGAAGAAAAAATAAATCAATAAAATACTGCATACACACACAAACATACACACGCACATTAAATATATATGGAAAAAAAAAATGGATGAAGAAAAATTTTTTTTAAGTTGAAATAATTCAAAACAAAAAATGGAATTTAGAGATTTTTCTCCTCTTTAATGAGGAAGATATGAAACCTAAGTTTTTTTTTTTTTTTTTTTTTTTTTTCAAGTTTCTCTGCTCAAGTATGTCTTGTCAATTGATGAGTGTATGACTTGGTCATTTATGACCTCAAACCATCCAATTGTAGTTTGACTGCTCATGATTTGAGCTCACCCAGATGATAGCAACTTACTCCTCATGGCACTAAGTATTTTATCTGCCTACTACAAGTAAATAAATACAGGAAAATATAAAGATATCTTTTCATGAGAGAAAAATTTAACTCTTTCCAAAAATTGGTGGTATGAACTCCAATGTTTATTTTTCAAACCTCTTCTCTTATGCATATCAAAATTCAAATATTGGGGAAAAAAATCAAGAATAAGATATTATTCTTTACAAAAATTCAAAATATTTAACAAATAAATCCTTTTCACTTTTCTTTCCTTCTCTTACTCCTGGGAACTTGAAAAAGCAAGGCTTCTTATGTTGAGACAGAAAATAGTAAATATAGAATGTCTTTAAGGGTAGGTGTTAGACACTGCCTTTTTCTCTTGGCCAAAGATTTCTGTTTCTCTGTTTCTTTTCTAAGTCAAAAGGGGAATGAGGGTTAATGAGAAAGAAATACAAAAACAAAAATTCACAACGGTAGAAGCACACACAATTTAGCCACACACACACACACTTGCACCTTGTCCTCTTTTTTTTTTTTTTTTTTTTTTTTCAATGTTTTTCTTAATAGATTTTTATTTTTTTCATTTAGGTGAAACTATTCCAACTCATCTGTAATTATTGATCTCTAGTTCAATCTTTTTTAAAATTTACACATTCACATTTAGATTCTAAAGAGTGACACTTCCAGGAATAAAGAATTACCAAAGTTTTGATTGCCATTTACTTCTATTTCATCCAACCCAAACATTGTCCTTTGTTATTACTGACAGGTTTTATTTTGTTGTGATTAAAAAAAAAAAAAAAAAAAAAAATTAAATCAATTTACTAATTAATATTATTTTAAGCTTTCATATACATTCTTCAATATTAGAGAACATAAAAATATGACCTCATTTTTTACTCATCTTATAAAAGTGATTCCAAGAAGGAATGTATACTCTTCTTGTCATTATTTTTCCATTTAATGGGTTATGAATTTCTTTTCATTTCTAATGAATCTAATTTCTTTTCTTAAGACTAGAAAATGCGCCCTTTGTGGACCAAATTTTTCTCCTCTTCCCCCCCCCTCCCAGTTCAGTATATGACAAGTACATCCAAGTAGTTCTGTCTATATGAATCCCTGATTTGTTCTTAAAATTTTACCTATTTTGCAAGTTACCTATACTTGCCACTACTACAAATTGAACCAATATCTACATTGATAATTTGTTCAATTCTTTGTCTTATCTTTTCTCCACCACACCCATTCTCAATTTCAGTTATTTGTAGTCCTGCTATTCCCCACTCCCTCTTCTCTCATAATGTTCTCAAGTTCAAATGCTTTCATGGAATGTCTTTCTGGAAATTTTTCTCTCTTCATATGTCCACTGATCAATTTTGTTAAAGATGGGTACCTTTCCACTTGAAATATCAAATGAAAATGGACATGAAAAGCTACAAAGAGTTTCTCAATTATTTTCTAACTCCCTCCCTCTAGCTGACTGTGATTAAAAGAATAAAGCTTCAAAGCTTGCAAAACATTTCCAAATGGTTTATCAAATAATTTGCAATTTGGAATCATTGCAAGAAATGTCTTTATTCAAGTAAATCAATATCTATTTTCATTATATATTTCTTCAAGAAACCGTTTCCTTTGACATGTTTTGATGTGCTTCAGGATGAGAAGCTTGGATCATGGACAGGAATTACAAAACATTCAGTAAATTTTTATAATTTTTTATATAAAAAGCAATTGTATAGAGAAAATTAAGATAATGATAAATTTTGTTAATTTCTCTGCCAACTTTGTTTCTAATTTTCTTGTCTCTTCTCTTTGTTGAATAAAATAAAAAGGCAATGATATGATAATGAAGCCAACAAATCTCATTTATAATTGACTTTTTTTTATATGCAGGCATTCTTTTATTCCATAAATAATTAACTGACATATCTTAAACCATCTAACAAAATAATTTCAAATTATTTTTCTTCATGCAATTCAACGAAAACTTGGGCAGCTGTTTTTGTTATTTTTCTGCTTGTTTCTTGTTTTAACTAATTTCACAGATCTTTGGTTTAAATGGAAAAGATATCTATTTTTCTTCTGGGCAAAATTCTTTTTTAAATTGTTCTTTTCTTTCATCCCTTCTTCACTAACATTTTTATGTTGCTTTGAAAACTGCTTAAAAATAGTTTGATCAAACGCACACATTTTGGTTTTTGTTTGGATTTTTTCATTAGATGCACTTCTGCCTTTTTTTTTTTTTTTTTTTTTTTCAAGCACACAACTGCCAACAAATAATTTGGAAATGTGAACAAGTCCAAAACTTTTGTTCAGAAACTTATTCCCTCCTTTTCTTAATTCCAATTCTATTTACTTATTCATTTACTTATTCATTTACTTAGCCATTTGTGTTGATTGTAGTTTTGAGATGAAAATTCATGCTCAATTATTTAATATTTTTAAACTTGACAAAATAAGTATTTCTTTCTTTCATTGATAACTGTGTTATAGACTTTGTAAAACCATCCAGAATTGGCATAATGTTTTTTTTTTTTTCTTTGATTAGTTTCAAGTTAACTTTTTCTTTTTTTGCTCGTTCATAATTTATGCCTTTTTTCTGCTTTGTTCTATTTTAATTCTCCCCAAAAAGCATTTTCAAATCAAACATAGTTTCTAAACAGCAAATAATTACGCTTCTTTTGGGTAAGAGAAAATACAAGTTCATTGTATGTTTCTGCTGTTGTTGATTTATTTAGTTCTTCAAATGTTAGCCTGTCTTTTGTTTCTCAACATTCTCATGGCCTAAATATTTGAGTTGATAATGTTTAAATGATACAGATTTAAGCTATGTTTTAACTTTATGATTTTTATAGCTGTCATCTTTAAAACTGACTTCTAGCATCTTTTAAAGCTTAATGTCTTCTTTTCAAGACAATTTTTTGGCTATAGGAAATAATCTGTTGTTTCATGAATTATTGTACTTAAAATACAACATTCAGTTCAATCTCACAAAATTGTTTTTTCTTAGGGCCAAAATTTTCTGCATTGTAAGTATGGGCAGAATAAAAGCAAAGCATTTTTAAAGCAAAAATTCCAGATTTGTTTGTTCTCTAATCTAACACAAAATGAAGACGACTGTTCATGGGAAGTTTCCTTACAAAAAAAAATTGCTGGTTGAAACTTTATCCATACAGATTCAAATAAATTTTTCATTTGCTTCTTTATAGATCATGTATAAAACATTTACCACAGAAGAGTTGCTTATAATTTTCAGTACATTTTATGTACTATTAAAAATCAGATGACTGAAAAATAGCTTTTGGAAGAGTGGGTGGGGGAGAAATAATTGTTGAGTCTTGGATGGAGTGCTTAGCTGCAACCAAATCTCGGAGTTTTTTGCTGTTTTTTGTTTTTCTTTTTTCCCTTTGTTTTAACTTTGTAAACTTCCATAATTCAATTTATGGATAATATTTTCTATTTTATTTCTTCAAATTTTTAAAATTTTTCAGATTCTTATTCTTTATTCTTCTGCCTTTTGCAATATTTTCCCATTTTTTTGCTATAAAAAATTTTGTTTTTGAATCTTAATTCCTTTTCTTCTTGTGGATCTTTATCCCCTGCCCATTTTTTTTTTTTTTTTTTTTTTTTTTGCTCCTGAAATATTTCAGTTGGTCAACCTGTATTGACATGAAAATCTTCTTTTAAAGTATGGTTCCTCTATAACTTATTTGTCTGAACTTGTATGAAGTCTAATTTTTCAAGGATTTTTATAGGCTTTGTTATATAAAGAACAGCAATGAGAATACCTGTCCTAAAGAATCTTTTTTTCCACCATTGTTCTTTCCGATTTCTTGTCTTTGTTCTTGAAGACCAGATTTTCTGCTGACTCCCCCAATTACACTGAAAATCCCAATGAGATTCATGACTGAGGGTATCTCAAAAAAAAAACTTGCAGGAAAAATGTGGAACTGCCAATGATTTCTATGCATTTGGTTCTTTAGCCTCCCTTCTTTCTACTCACTAATTGTGTGTTTGTATATATGTAGAGCACGTGTGATAATGTTTTAATCTTCTTTGGCTTCTTTTTCTTGAGTAAAAGCATTCCAATTCCAAAGAAAAAAAATTTAAAAAAATGCGACCGTAATAGCGATCTTTGCTTCTTTTTTTTTTTTTTTTTTTTTTTTTTTTTTTTTTTTTTAAACTCCTTTTTGTTGTTGTGATTGTTGCTGTTATTATTAAAATGTTAATAACTAATCATTTAATGAAAACATTACTAATAGCCTGTTTGATTCATTATTATTAATATTATTATTAATCATTTTTATGTCTTTTGGGGTGGGGGGGTATCTCCAGTTCCCTGTCCTCACTCCCTTGAAATTTTCTATGGAGCCACCAGGATCCTTGTCCTCACCCAACACCTTGAAATCTATGGAGTTTCATTTTTTTCTGAAAGAAAAGCTGTCATTAATGGAAGTTGATTTGATTATAATACACAAAAGCTGGAACAAAATAGCTTTTTGTTTTCACTATTTCTTTTCAAGCAGTTCTTGTTTTGGTTGTTTCTGACTTTCCTTTCTGGCAACTTTGATCCCTTCCTCCTCCATCTCCTCCTCCTGAAGCATACATCACAGGCTCACCTGATGTAGACTTGTTGGGTGTATTT